CAATATTAGTGATGAAAAAGAAACATCTTATCTCAATCTAAAATGATCTGATATTCATCAGTGTATTGCATAGATATACATTTACGAAGATATGAACAAAAATAGAAAACAAGATTGACTCCTTGTATGCGTACATGCATATCTTTCAGGGCAGTCAGATAAAAAGCTTAAGAATCAGAGATTATTTAGAAGGCATATTTTTTTAGCGAAATAACAGCTATTATGTTAGCATGTTGGTATCAAATACTATAGTGGGTGTCTGTTCATTGAGTTATACTTTATTTTTAAAAATATTTAACTATAAAGACAGACAATAAAATGAATATATTGTTTAGTTAATACAAAAAACAGACACTTAGTGTCAAACTCTTCCACTAAATGCAAAATTCGTTCACAGAAAAAAGCACAAAACCAATCATATATATATATATGCAGGTTAAGCGATGTTACATAAAGAGTAAATAATGATCATATAGTGTCAAAATGATAGCAGTGTTCATAATGCTCAATTTGTCGAAAAAGTTTTATGAAGAATAGATGTGTGGATATAGGTAAGACCCGCACCCGCATCAACACTCTAACGAAGGTGTGATCGAAAAAAGTTCAGAATTCGGAAACAGTGACAAAGAAGTATTAAGATTCGAAAGTCATTGCAAAAGTATTAAAATTTCAGAAACTTTTCTTGCTTTTTAGAAGATCTGGCAACTTTGATATCTTCACCAATAGTTTACAGATCAGTTTATTCATCATAACATTCTGTTCATGTTAAACGAGATGATCCATTAAATCTACTAGATACACAAGATAGAAAAATGCTTCAATAAAGATTATCTTCTCAGAAAAAAAGACTTCATTTTCACTTTGATGGTTGTCAAATTAATGTTTACTCTTGTGTGCTTTGCAGTTCTTATGGTCAAAAAATAATGCTTTTTATCACACATATTTCAAATTTTCATAGAACGAATGCTTGGTTTTGTTCAAAGCTTTATCATTATCGTAAAAATTTATATTTTTTATGATAGAATTCGCAGTTGTTTTTATTCCAATCTCAATCATCATCGGTGTCATCATCTTTAAAAACAGGTAATGATTTTTATTTAGTTTATATTTCACTTCGTACTGTAATCATAAACTATAAATAAATGTATCGTATATCTTCATGAAGGTTTGTTATATTTCTCTGCATATTAGCCTTGCACAACAGATGGAGTTCAGGAAGCAGAAGGCTGAAGTCTGATTAATACAAACTCTAAACACATATCAATGAAGTCAAGAATGATGTAAGATATATGAGAAAATTGCATATCTATTGCTTCGTTATGTTTCAGGATGTGTATGGAGAATAGCTCTGGTTCTTGTGAATTGATGTTTGTGAATATTATGTTTCAATACAGGATTGATTGGCATACGTAAATAGAAAATGAGGAAAACTGTAAATTAACAGACTAATAATATGAGTTATGTTTCTCGTCGTCTCGTAAACTTACTTACATGTCCACTTGCAATAGATATATGATAAATCATTTAACAGTATGTGAAATCGAAGGACAATCATTGTATTACAATAAGAGATTGATCTACCAGGTGTTGATTCATTTGTGTTATAATTACTGTTTATGACCTCTATCCATCTGATGAAATTAATAGTAAATCTATGCACTAGAAAATGTTTAGGTTCTGATTGTTATTTACTCTTTGTAAAATTGAATTACTCTATATTGTATTTAATATGCAAGATTACTTTGACAAGCTTATTTTATCAAATAACGTTATACTTTTGTCGACAAACTACGAAAAGTTGTCGTTGAGTATCACAATCTCTCTTTTGAACTGATAACAATATTATTTTTATGATCTTTTTTTTTCTCTGTAAATAATTGAAGATATGAGTTTGTTTACTATGTTCTTTTGTCGCTGCAAAACTGACTATTGAAATAGTCTCTAATACAATGGATTGTAAAGTTGTACATGGAAATTATGTTTATCTTTTATTTTTCTATTTTACAATATTGATGCCTAATTTCAACAATACAACTCTTTAAATTGTATAAATCAGTGACAACTAGTTTTAGAATGTAATCTTACTTAGTCACCTTCGAAAACGGAAATAGAAAGCAAAACAATGGCCGTTTAATATCAAACCAAATGACTTCTAAAACAGGATGACGGATTATCACGAAATACTGTGATATTCAGCGACACAATACACCATTTTATAGTCGTTTCCGATGGTGGATATGATCGTCTCGAAGAAAAATGGTAGGAACTTGGAAACAGGGATTTGGTAACCAGATCCAATCACAGAATTTCTGCCTTCAAATTTCTATCACTTGCTTCAGTTTCCATTGAAAATAGTCTCTTTAGCTGGTTCCTGTCGAAAACCCATGGATCTGATGCCGAAATCATTGGCTCAGGTGCTAAACTATTTGCATCTACGCCATCTAGTGTCAATTTCTTGGAGTAGCAGCTCATTAATGGTAATGGACAAATACAAGTACTTCAGCGTGATATCCTATGTTTGTGGTAAAGTTTTACACCATTTAAGCAGAAACTTCATAATGCTTTAGGAGCAGGTATGCCAGTAACTAGAAGAACGTCGAAATCAAATATAAAAAAAACTAAACCAAATGCAATTACAAATTAACTCAAAACTACTTCATTATTTAGGAGCATAATATAGTAAGTTTCACTATTTCTTTTAACAGTGATCAAATTTGAATTTGATAACGGCTACCATGGCCTGTAGAACAATGACGAGTAATGGGACGCTAATCATTACAATATTGACTACCGTCATGTTGAATTCCACGACAGCGATTTTGAACATGATCAACAGCATCAGAATTACGATTTTCAATATAATTAGCATCGTCATGACCACTAATCAGAAATGAAAAGAATATGCTAACCAAAGTAGATACTTGCAAGTGTTAAAAGAAATAGTGAAATTTCCCGTGTCGTTCATCTACATATTTAAGTATTTGTAAATAATTTTGTAATTGCATTTCTTTTAATTGTTTGATTGAATTTCGAAGTTCTTCAAATTGTAACTGGAATTTTTGTTGAAACAAGTGAATTTGTTGTTGAGTTGTTCATGAAAGAAACAGCGATTACATGGTGAAGATTAAGTATTTTTAGCAGCAATATTCTAGTATTCCATTTCATATTCAGTTTGGAACGAGAGAAGAAGACGATTAAAAAATTCTCCTCTTCAATTACATCAAGAGAGTAGGGGTTCCAACAATAGTTGTGTCATTAGTTGAAAATATGCAGTAGAGTTTGATAGAAAATTTATAGATTTCATTTGTTTGACTGAAGAAACATCAGTTTGAGAAACAACAATTTTCTTCAATGTTCATCATTGAATTGTATTAAATACTGACGGATACAGGAAATTTCGACACTTGTTTTTTTTTCATTCAGACGATATCTATCGTGTATTTCTGATCTGTCCTATAAAACTTCACAAAATATCCGAATTTGCATTATTCTCTGCATTAGAATACCTTGTCTCTTCTATTATCATTAGTCGAACTTCTTTAAATTGTTAGCTATCTTTGCTGAGGAAAACACAATATTCGTATGAGCCGAGCCTATTGCAGAGTCTTCTCCTGAAAGGAGCGAGAAATATGATTTGATTCCTGCTTGTTCGAAACAGTAATCACGAACCATATGATTGTCTCAATGTTCCGAGAAAAACCAGTCTTTTTTCATAGTTGTATTCTAATCAGTGTCAAACACTACTACTTTTATAATTTCTTTGCTTTATACGAAAAATCAAGGAATCATATAGTCAATAACACATTAGAGAACGAAAAAATAAAATATCTCTCAAACAATACTTCAAACTGTTATGTTTTCTCAGCACGACTTCTAATTCATAATGACGTAACATATGAATCACCTTTTAGTATCTTCATGATAAGAAAACATGTAGTATTAAATTACACCGAACTGTGTGTTCGCAATACTTAGCGTGTCAAGAGAAAACATTAAATAATGTGAATGGCTTGAATTGAAGGGAATGAAAAAAACGTTGAAGTAAGATAGGTATATACTTCAATACTTTGAATCTTTCATAATCGTCGAATGGAAGAAAAATGCGCATATATGATTTCGTTCGATCATATTCTTCTCCGTTAGCTGCTTTTTCTTTTGTTTTTTGCACATCGGTTTTAACCTGTGAATTAGGAATATTGTAATCAGGTAGAAAATTAAAGCAGAGAACTCGACAATAGCTATGTTGACAATGACAACAATCAATTTTTCGATACTTTCATGCACACTATCTGCATCCAAACGAAAATCCTAGATAGCATTAAACAGCACATATCATATATACATGGATCTCAGCTTCATCGATGTGTTCCAAGTTTTGTGTGTTATATCTAACAGAGTGTCCTTGAAATATCTTTGATAATACGTCACTTCGTCGAATAATATCAAAAACATTCTTGTATCATGTGGAATCAAAGAATAAGTATTCGAATAGAGAATGCCCGATCATAAAGATATTCTTTTTCTTTCCTTGAAAGTCTTTTCTTTCATACACATATACGATTAACAATAGAATAATTGTTCGATAAGACCATTGAATTGCCTCTCTTCTTGTATTCAATGTCAAAATGGATTTTAAAAGTTTACTAAACGAAATTTGATCATTATCAATTTCAAAATCGAATATTCATAAATACCAACTATATCAATTTTATTATGCTTCTCTGTTTATTAACAAGTGTTTTCTTTATACGTATGTATAAATATATGTAAGAAGGAATCAGTAGTAGAGCTAGGGAGTTTTATCCTCCTCTCCCTCTTGGTTCACTTACTTTCATCGTTAGATGGAATACAAGAAGACAAACACGAACTGATAGGAAACAGTGAGTTATCGTATCACAATAGACATCACAGTGCAAAAAAAAAATAGGTAATAAAGAAAAAGAAAAACAGACTATTAATATATATATATATCTGTAAATGTATACATATGTATAAATATGCTATTGTCGATAAGCGACACAAGCAAAACCTGAATCACATCTCGGTGTTAACATTTGACTTTCAATTGTCCATTCATCTTTATCACTATCATAAACTTCAACTGTATCAAGTAAAGATGTTCCATCATAACCACCAATAACAGCTATACGACCTCGAATAAATGCTGAACCACAATAACATCATCGAACAGACATACTTGTCACATTTGTCCATTGATTTATTTGACTATCATATCGTTCTACACTTGATAAATGAATTGTTCCATCAAATCCACCACAAGCAAATATATAATGATCAACTGTTGCACAACCAGCTCCTTATAAAAAAGAAATAATTAAATAAAGAGATGTATATTGAATTATTTAGATATTAGAAAAAAAAAGTGATGATATAATTGTACCTGAACGTGGAGTTAACATTGGTGTCATTTGTGACCATCGACCCAAATTAATATCTAGTGAAAAAAGAAAGCTTAGAATTAACTTGAACCGAATGAAAGTGAAAATATCTACCATATTTTTCAACTGTTTGTAACAAGCTAAT